AACCCTGCATCTGGCGCCTTCCCAAGGGGAGTGGCCTGCAGGATTGGGCTGAAACCAGCTCTCTGACATCCCCCGAGGGGTCCTGGATTGCTAGAGGGCACAGGCCAGGCTGAGGGACCCCACTGGTGCATGATTGGGCCCGGGAGGGACTGCAGGAGGGCTACAGGGCGTGTCCAGCCCATCTTGCTCAGTCCCAATCAGCCAGACCCCAGTAGTAAGCTAACCTATAGGTCGGAGCATCTGCCCCTGGTGGTCAGTGCACGTCATAGCGAGCGGTTGAGCAGCCTTAGCATATCATTAGCATATTACACTTTGATTGGTTGTTCAGTTCTGCCATTCGGTCTATTTGCATATTACCCTTTTATTATATAGGAAAAGAAGTCATCAAAATGGTGGTCAATTCTATAGAATATGGGGGTTGGGATCAGTTCAAGTAATTGGGATATTTCTGCAGAGCTTTCAGAACCACATAGATTTTTACATCTTTCTTCCTTGAAAACTTCTCTGCTACCATCATTGCAACACTCTGCTCCTTCCTGATTCCCCACTTATAACGGAAAGATATAAGCTCCAGCCTGGCCAGTGTGGCTCCGTGGTTGCACGTCAACCTATGAACTAGGAGGTCCTGGTTCTATTCACGGTCATAACACATTCCCAGGTTGCAGGCTGGATCCCCAGTAGGGGATGTGCAGGAGGCAGCCAATCAATGATTCTCTGACATCATTGATGTTTCTATCTCTCTCTCCCTCTCCCTGACTCTCTGAAATAAATTTTTTTAAAAAATGTTTTAAGAATTTATAGCCCTGGCAAGCATATATGTACCCAATATTGGAGCACCAACAAATATAAAAAGGGTCTTGGAGGACTTTAAAGGAGAGATCAACAGCAATACAGTCATAGTAGGGGACTTTAACACCCTACTGACATCACTGGATAGATCTTATATATATATATTAAGATGTAAGCTCCACTCCTCGGGGTTGCAGATATCAGAGCTAGACTACAACACCAAGACTTCACCAGCAGGTGCTGCTGTTAAATATATAATGTCCTAAACAATGCAAATGTATAATGCCTCAAGTTTGAGATTTAGCAAGTCAGCACCCTCCTTCTTCAAAATCATTGGTTTCCAATTCTATGGGGACACAAGGCTAGGGGAGGGCCTGCCCATATGCCCACCTGAGGCCTGAGACCTGAGACCTGTTCAGCCAAAGGGCAGCTGAGACCTGTTCAGCCATGGGCAGCTGGCCCACAAGTGAGCGGTCTCTTTTCCTCCCTCCCATAGCTATGACATCGCCCTGCTGCGCCTGGCCCAGAGCGTTACCCTCAACAACTACGTCCAGCTGGGTGTTCTGCCACGGGAGGGAACCATCCTGGCTAACAACAGTCCCTGCTACATCACAGGCTGGGGCAGGACCAGAAGTAAGTCACCTACATGGGCACCGTCTACCACATGAATCTTGATTAGCTGAGCTTCTAGGGTACAATTTTCTGTGGTCCTAGGTATTCATAGCCAGAAGCCAAGAAACCACAAAGGAACCAGAGATAAAATAACTGAGACATGAAATCAAGCTAAGAACAGGCAATGGAATCAAGGCAGAGATTCATAGACTCTTATAACTCAAAAAACAACCCAACAGCAACAACAACAAGAAGCCACACTACTTAACTCAGTATTATATACAAGCCTCTCATTTTATTTTATACATGAGGAAACTGAGGCCAAAGGAAATTAAACATTTTGTTCAAGATCACATTACTAGTTAGTAACTACTGATCTGGGGCTGGAACCCAGGTATCCTGGCTCCCACTTTGGTAGTCATTACATCATTGTGCTACCTCCATAGACAGTCACTGGGTTTTGGGTTGGGAGTGAATGAACCAGGGTAGCTGTAGGTCCAGAAAAGTCAATGCAGATGAGGCCTCCGCCTTCTTCTGGTCATCATGGGAAGATTTCTGGTAGGGAATGTCATTCAGATAACATAAAAAGGTGGGAGAAGCCGAAACCGGTTTGGCTCAGTGGATAGAGCGTCGGCCTGCGGACTTAAAGGTCCCGGGTTCGATTCCGGTCAAGGGCACGTACCTGGGTTGCGGGCATATCCCCAGTGGGAGATGTGCAAGAGGCAGCTGATCGATGTTTCTCTCTCATCGATGTTTCTAACTCTCTATCTCTCTCCCTTACTCTCTGTGAAGATTTCTGGTAGAGAATGTCATTCAGATAACATAAAAAGGTGGGAGAAGCTATGAGCAGAGATAGTTAAGAGGGGCAGAGACGTTAGGCCTGACATGGAAGTCTATGAGCCACCAGGCAGTATTTGAGCTCTGAAAGAGAGGCAAGGCCTTGCTATGAGCAGTCAGTCTCCTGGGAAAATCTGGAGCTAAGAGACATATTTCTAATCTAGCTCTGCTCTCAGTTCACTTAATGTCATTATGGTTCAATTTCATGATCTTTAACATGAAAGGGTTGTAAGGATCCAAAGAAATAATTCATGTGCAAAGGCTTTGAAAAATCAAAGAGCCAGATAAAGAAAAGTTGCACCAAGCTCTTAAGAAATGCAAACAAGGGTGCACAGTTCCATTTCTGCTTCATAGGGTATACAATGTAAGGAAAAAACAGGACAGGTAGATAAATTATCAACAAATGATTCTAGTTACTTCGCTAAGGTATCCATGAGGTTTTTTTGTTTTTTGTTTTTAAAAAGGCAGGAGTAGGATTGTTTGTGGGTTGTTGTTGTTTTTTTAATCTGTATTATTTGTGTGTTTTTTAATATATTTTTTATTGATTTCAGAGAGGAAGTGAGAGGTAGAGGTAAATAGAAACATCAACAATGAGAGAGAATCATTGATTGATTGCCTTCCGTATGCCCCCCACCAGGGATCGAGCCCGGGCATCGAACCCCAGGACCCTTCAGTCCGCAGGCCAGTTCTATCCACTGAGCAAAACTGGCTAGGGCTAGGATTGGTGTTTTAGAACCCAGGAACAGTAATCAAAGATGACTCCCTAAAGGAAAGAGCCTGTTGTTTCCATATAAAGAGATAAAAAGGAGGATCTATGACATGCAGTGAGCAGAAAGAAGGAGCTTGCCTGGAGTTCAGCTTTCATCAGAGCTTGGGAAGGTTTGGGAGAATGTGGAAGGTTTTTCCCTTGGATAGTATCTGGGGCTGATCTCCAATGCTGTGTGTCCTGTTTAGCCAATGGACAGCTGGCCCAGACCCTGCAGCAGGCTTACCTGCCCACTGTGGACTATGCCACCTGCTCCAGCTCCTCCTACTGGGGCTCCACTGTGAAGAACACCATGGTGTGCGCTGGAGGAGATGGAGCTCGCTCTGGATGCCAGGTGAACACTTGTAGAAAGTGTCTAAAGTCCCACCCCAGATCTCTCCCCTCTCTGCCTACCACTTCCCACCTTTTCCTTACCTGCTATTCCACATTTACACCCCATGTACAGATACAACTTTCTACTCTGGTTTCTGAATGAGAATGATTCTTTGCTAGTAACTCTATGCTCACAGGATCTCAAAGTTGAAAAAATCTTAAAAATGCATCTTGCCTAGAGCCCCCACCTCAAAAGCTTGTATGTGGTCTAATATTTGTGTTGGTATATGTTCTTTAGAATTTGTTCATGACCTAGACTTTTTATGGATGCAGTGGGGCTAAGCCTGGAGTGATGGTTGTAATTTTGTATAAGGTAGCTCCCCTTAGAGGAGCTACAAAAATGATCAATCTATTGATCAATGATCAATAGCTCCTCTATTTCCACTCTTTTACCTCATTAGTACTTACAGCCATACATATGGGTGGATATAGTAGGGGAAAGTGCACAAATGGTTTTATAATAGTATAAATAAAACAGAATTTTCTCTTTAGACACAATGAATCAGCAATACACCATCTTACAGATTTCTTAATGCAATTCAACAAATGGTCTTGATTAGCTACTAAATAAAATACCAGATACTGTGCATTTATGCTAGGGATACAAAGATAAACACAGTGGAGAAATGAGAAGAGCAGACATATGAGAGAACATCCTATATAATAAAAGGCTAATATGCAAATTGACCAAACAGCAGAGCAACTAGTCGCTATGATGTGCACTGACGACCAGGGGCAGACGCTCAATGCAGGAGCTGCCCCCTGGTGGTCAGTGCCACTCAGCCAGAAGCCCTGAGCTGGGCTGGCGAGCACAGCACCAGTGGTGGGAGCCTCTCCCACCTCTGTAGCAGCGCTAAGGATATCCGACTGCTGGCTTAGGCCCGCTCCCCACTGTCAGTCGGACATCCCCTGAGGGCTGCCAGACTGCGAGAGGGTGCAGGCCGGGCTGAGGGTCCCCCCTCCCCCAAGTGCATGATTTTCATGCACCAGGCCTCTAGTTGTAATATAATATGGTTAAGTGTTTACAATAAAGATATGCACCAGGTGGTAGGGAAGCCCAAAAAATAGGTACTTACCTCTATTTGTTGGGGTCTGAAAAGACTTGCCTTCTCTGAGAAAGTGGAATCTGCAGTGAGTCCTGAAAGTTAAACAGGAGAAGGAGGGAAAGACATTCAGGGAGAGGTACAGCATGAAGAAAGGCATGGACCAAGAACCTAGGTAGGACACATACAGAATTACAGGGTGTTCCCTACAGCTATCTGGAGCAGAGGTCGAAGCCCACAAGCCTCTAAATCCAACCTGATGCCTGTTTTTGTTTGGCCCTTGAGCTAAGAATGGTTTTTACATTTTTAAATTGGTGGGGGGGCGGGGGGAATAACAGAATAATATGTCATGACACGTGAAAAATATAAAATTTCAATGTTCATAAAAATATTTTATTGGAAAACAGTATAGTTGTTTCTTGTGTATTGTTTATGGCTGCTTTTACAGAATTGAGTAGTTGTAGCAGAGCCTGCAAAGCCTAAGATATTTACTATTGGCCGTTAACAGAAAAAAGTTTGCTGACTCCTTGAGCTAGAGCATAAACTATTACCATACTAGGGAATGTCAGGAGATGACACTAGGGGCAAGTAGGAGCCACATGACGTAGGGCTTTAAATGTCATGCTTGGGGGACATGAACTTTATCACTTAGGTACTGGGAAATTATTGAAGAGTTTCAAACAGGAGAACAGCATGATCAGATTTGCCTTTTAGAAGCACTCTCTGATGACAAATAATCATGTTTTTGAAGAGGACAAGATTGGCAGGGAGATTGGTTAGGAGACTATTGTAATTATCCAGGCAAGAAATTTGAGGGTCTGAATTAGGGCAGTGGAGAAGAGGGAAGAAGGAGGATATGGGATGCATTACAGGCATTTGGCTTAAGTTATTTGGGAGAGAGGTTGGCTCCCTCAAATGAGACAAGATTTATAGGATTTGAGAGGAAAGGTGATGAGTTTAGTTCTGGATACGTTGAGTCTGAGATCCCTGTGGGATATTCAGGTATAGTTAACTGGTAAGAAATTAGATATAAAGAAAGCGAAACCTGGGTGACAGAGCTGGGCTAGAGATACCCCTAACAGCAACTGAGACACTCCCACCCCACCTCTCAGCCCCAAGGAAACCACTAGAAAAAGAGCAGTGACTTAGCAGAACTGCAATAACATAAATACTAGAGTGCTTCAGGGAGATATGTGAAAGATAAAGAACCCATAAATATCTAAGAGGGACTAGTGGCAAGAGAAAAATAAGAGTTTTATTAAATCTCAAAAAATACGGATAAGTCATCACATAATAAACAGTGCAGCCAGAGCCACAGTAGATAACTGAAAGTGACTACTTGGCAGTGGGTGAGTCACTGGCAACTATGGCAAGAACAGTTCCAGTGGAGTGGTGATGGCAGAAGCTAAAGGGTAAGGAAGAAGAGGCAATAAAAACATAGCGAGGGCCCAGCCAGTGTGGGCCAGTGGTTGACCAGGAGGTCATAGTTCAATTCCCAGTCAGGGCACATGCCCAGGTTGTGGGCCTGATCCCCAGTAGGAGGGCGTGCAAGAGGCAGCCAATTGATGATTCTTTCTCATCATTGATGTTTCTATCTCTCTCTCCCTTTCTCTCTCTGAAATCAATAAAAACATATAAAAATATTTTTAAAAAATACATAGCAAGGAAATGTAGAACACTCTTTCAATAATCTTGGGTGAAAGAGAAGAACAAAAAAAGTCTGGTAGCTTTAAGAGGGATGAGAAGTCAAGAAGGAGATGGACCGTTTAAGAGGGAAGAAAAGTGTGTTAAAAAGGCAGAAAGAGAAGGATCCTATAGAGCAGTGGTTCTCAATCTTGGTTGCACATTAGTATCACCTGGGAATCTTTTTAAAATCCTGATTTCTGGGCCTCATCCTCCAGAAATTCTGTTTGTTTGTTATGGGGTGGGGCCACAACATTAGTAACAAAGAAACAGAATTTCTGGAGGATGAGGCCCAGAAATCAGGATTTTAAAAAGATTCCCAGGTGATTCTAATGTGCAGCCAAGGTTGAGAACCACTGCTATAGAGTCAAAGAGAGGGAATGAATGGATAGCACAAGATCCCAGTGGAAACAGAAAAGATGGAACCAAGAGCACAGGCAGAGCTGGCTTTGGGCAGGGAGAGGGATGCCAAAATGTGCATAAACGTGAGTGTGCATGCTGGGTACATGGAAGTTGACAGGTGTTCTGCATTATTGCTTCCATTTACTCATGAACTAGGCGTCAAACTGGATGTTGAAACTGAAGAGGAAAGGACTGTATGGGTCTGGATTAATTAAAGTGAATGGGAGAAGGATTGGCCTTCAAAATATTACTGATAGGCTGAGGTTAGAGATTACACAATAACCATTCAAAGATCCAGCTGTAGAGAATGGATTAATCCAGGACTAAGTTTTTCTGCATTACTGGGGCAAAAGGCAAGACTGCAAATCAAATGCAAGGTGCAAGCTAGGTGAAGGAGGAAGAGAAGCCAGCAGGAGACTGGTAGGCTGGCTGAAATAACAGAAGCAAAAGATTGTTTTTTTGTGAGCACTTAGTACTATGGAAGAAAGGTGACCAAATCATCCTAGTTTTCTCAGGACTTTTCCAGTGTTAAAACTTAAGAGTCCTGTATCCTAGGAACCTTACATGCAAGGAGGGGCAAAAAAGGAAACTAAGACAACCTCTCAGGTCCTCCTCAGCCAGCTTAACCTATAACCTCTTAAGGTTTAACCTTTTTGAGTTAATTCATTTCCCAGGGTCTTTTTTCAAATTTTTCTATCTATATTTAAAAGCCCAGCAACCATTAAGGTGGACCGACCAGAACAACTGGTCGCTATGATGCGCACTGACCACCAGGGGGCAAATGCTCAACACAGGAGCTGCCCCCTCGTGGTCAGTGCGCTCCCACAGCAGGAGCGCCGCTCAGCCAGAAGCCGGGTTCACAGCTGGCAAGCGCAACAGTGGTGGCTGGAGCCTCCCCTGCCTCCATGGCAGCGCTAAGGAGCAGCAAGTAGTGAGCAGGCGGGTGGTTAGGAGTGAGCAGGCGGGCAGTTAGGAGCGAAGGGTCCCGGATTGTGAAAGGGATGTCTGACTGCTGGTTTAGGCCCAATTGGATAGTTTAGGCAGTCAGACATCCCCCAAGGGGTCCCAGTTGCGAGAGGGCACAGGCTGGGCTGAGGGACCCCCCCCCCCCACCTCGTGCACAAATTTCGTGCATCAGGCCTCTAGTTTTTTAAATAATAGAAATATTTTTTAAATAATAGAAATATCTCTTTAGTCTCCTTTATTGTCCCTTACTTTTATTTTACTGTATTTTTTGTCTTTCATGACTGATATTTTTGAAGAGTCCAATTGTCCATAATTGGTTTCAAAGAGAGGTAGCCAAGGGGATCACCCAGCTTTAGGGCTCAGGAACTGACACATAACTTAAGATGTTGGCCAGGGGGTTAGCCAGGGGCTTAACCTTGTGACTTTTAGTCAAAACTGGGTTATTGTCTTCTGCTGCTTGAAGGTCAACAATTACCCAAGGTGAGAAACTAAGGTCAGGTCAGTGAAATATAAGTTCTAGAGGCTGGGAGTCCAATCAAGGTGTCAGCAGGTTTGGTTTCTTCTTGGGCCTTTCTCCTTAACTATCAGATGGTGACCTTGCTGAGTCCTCATATGGTCTTTTCTCATCCGTGGTGTTCTCTGTGTGTCCAAATTTCTTCTCTCCCAGGGTCTTGAATTCTGAAAAAACTAGAGTACTTCTCTTCTGGTTGCCACTCCAAATAGACAATTCTTTAAGATAATTATGTCTTTGGGTCCCTTCCCACTGGAGTTTTCCAAATAGTGTGTTCTCTAGGTTTTCAGACTTCTGTGTTCCCAACCCCTTTCCTGCGAGTGAATTCATTGAGCTTCTCTGACTTCGATCCACATACTCCCACTGAGTTCTTGTCAATCTCTTCCTTCTGTCCTAATCCTCAGCCATGCCCTCCATCTCTCCGGAGCCTTTGTTTCTTTTCAGATCAATTAGCATAAGACAATTGTATTACATATAATTCAATTACTTTCCTGTCCTATAGCCCAGAAGTACTCTCAAATCCCTATTAGAATTTGGGTAGAAGAGGTTTAGATTGTTTTGTTTGTTATGAGTACAATAATCTAAACAAAACATTTACTTTGCCTAAACATTAGTTCAGGTGGGGTACAGCTAGGTCCCTTTTAAAACAAATCCCCGATTTGAACTTTTGGTCTCTTTCCCTAGTTCTTTTTTTTTTTTTTTTAGCTTTAATTTTTTATTGAAACTATACATATTCAATTGCTTAAGGTGGCAAATAAAACTATGAGGATTAATAATGGAGAAGAATAGTCATTGTGTTCCTTCTACCCCTTGAGCTCTTGCTCCCTAAAAGGAACTACTTTCAACTCTTTTCAGCTGACTTTTGGTTTCTACTTCCATACCTCTCTAAATATATATATAGTTAAATTGTACTTAATTTATCAGTTCAGGCATTATGAGAGATGCGGATATCTCTTCCTTTTACACATTTTTACTTGCCCCCAAGCATGAACTTTTTCCATCACCACCTCAAACTCCAAAAATAATTTTTATTAGATTAACATTTAATGTTTGTTATAATTATGTAAAATGCGATGCACAACCAAACCAGGTATTCTGGGATTAATTTTCATTTCCTGCATAACTTTGTTTTCCCTGGAAAATAATAATTCTTTTTTATTTGCATAACATGTACTCAACTTATTGCTAATTCAACCCCATACTCTCAATTAATTTGTAAGTGACCTATTTTATCTTCTCTTGTCCATAGTGTTCTGTGTCTTGGTATGGGTCTATTTGCATTCATCATGAGGGACACTTACTAGCTTTTTTTCATTCTGGAAACTCCAGAGCTTTGTTTCTGAAACATGTATTGTTGATATGTCCTCCCTCCATTTTTATTTTCTCTTTCTAGAATTTGTTATTCATAAGTTTATCTCCTAAACTGGTCCTCTTATTTTCTCTATATTTTGTTTGTTTGTTCTACCTCATCTTCCAATACTTCCAATATTTCATTTCTACTATCATATTCATAATTTCCAAAGGCTCTTTTTATTTTTAAATGTTCTGTTAACAGCATGCTGTTCTTGTATCACAGATGCAATATTAATCATAGTTTTATTGCTTGTTTTCTTCTCCCTGCATAATCTTAGTTGCCTTCATTTTTTGTTTGTTTATTCCTTTGTCTCTTTCTTTGATCTTTATTTTTATATTAGAGGCTTTCTTCAAATGTTTGGTAAAATCCTTGACCATCTGCTCTTACTTTAGAGTGGGGTGGTTAAGAAGTAGATAGGTAGCTCTGAATCTTAGGTGGGGTTTATCCATAGTGAACTACTTTGTCAGGTGATTTGGCAAGCTATTTCATTGGGGAACTTTCAAGGACAGTATCTTTAGGTCTGTTCTCTTGTGCTGGCCAGATTCTCCCAAGAAATACCTTCCAATTTTATGTCCGTTATTATAGAACTGGCATTCTTGGAACTGAGTAAGAAGAAGCATGTCAAGGTCATATTCTATAAACCCAGGTTCTTGATTCTAAGTCTGAGCATGTAACCACTACCCAATACATTATTTCTCTCCTCTTTACCCCAGTTTAGTTTAACATGTATTGACTACCTATCCTGTGTTTAAATGTTAAGTCTAATTAGACCCATTGGTCTAAATGCTGGGGATAAAGAAATCATTAGAACACCCTACTTCTCCCATCCCAGGTTCAATTTAAGTTAATAAAAAACTATTAAACTTGTAGCTGTTCAAAGTTCTGTGTTAGCAATGTAGAAAGGAAAATTATCATCAAAACATAGCTCCTGTCTCAAGCTCTTAGCTATGCATGGGAGGTAGAAACAAATTATGAAACCAAAATGCAAGGCAGAACATGACATAAATAATGCAAAAGAAAGGAAGAAGTACTGTGGTCGTTTAGAAAGGAAGAAGAGATTCATCTTGATCGTGGGATTATGAAGCAAGTGGGGAGTTGAATTGGAGTTTTAAAACTGTACAGAATTTTACAGAGATGGGGGTGGGCAGGGTGTAAGCAAAAGCAAAGGCCCAAAGATCAAAATATCTGGAATTTCAGGACTCTGCTTTTATTTCCTGCAGGGTGATTCTGGAGGCCCCCTCCACTGCTTGGTGAATGGTCAGTATACTGTCCATGGAGTGACCAGCTTTGTGTCCAGCCAGGGCTGTAATGTCTCCAGGAAGCCCACAGTCTTCACCCGGGTCTCTGCTTACATCTCTTGGATGAATAATGTGAGTCCTCTCAAATAATGGGTTGAAATAGGGTCACCTGGAGACCTGTGCACTGGCTGGGTTGGAGAGCAAAAGTTGGGCAGGGGAAACCATCATTTTCCTCACCACATTCTACTCCTTTCCCTTCCTCCCATAGTGCACTTTCCCTCAATAATGATACCACCCTGAGTTTCCCTTCACATACCCACTAAGCAGGCTTCACCATATTGTTTACTGCTTAGGGTAAGATGGTGGTAACAACAGATCTGAACCAGGCATTTATCACTGCTGTCCTAAGTTAAAGTCAAAGAAAAACAGCTTCAGAAAGCCTGCATTCTCCTGGGCAAGGGGAGAGGCACTAACAAGCTCTCCCATTATGAGAATTTGCTCTACCCTTTGGAAAGAGGTTTTACCACTTTAAACAATTTTTGAGAGTTAGATGAGACTCTACTGATACTGACTTATTGGGAGAGCCTCACAGTCGTCTCACCTGTGCCTTGCAGCCTTCTAACTCATTCTGGAGTCTTGTGGTATGAACATTAACTCACAACCATTGCAAAGTCTGTCCTTGCCACTAAATCCTGGATATCTATATATATAAAAGGCTAGTGTCCATCTGACTGGTAGCTATGATGCACACTGACCACCAGGGGGCAGATGCTCAATGCAGGAGCTGGAGCTGCCATGACGTGCACTGGCTATTTAAAAATAAACGGCACATGGACCTGGCACTGACAAACCAACACTCAGCTTCCCTCAAGTGGGACACAGTCCCTGCCACCACCCTGGAGCAACATCCCAGCAAATCGCAGCCAACGCTGCTGAGACCCCATGGTGCAAAATGCAGCCCACAGCCGCGGCCCAGAAACAGTCGCTGTAGGCGTGCTGGGTAATGATGTCACATAGCAACACTCAGTTTCCTCTCCCTAGTGACTAACCTTCTTGGAGTTTTTTCAGCCCAGAAACACAACTTGCTTTATAGCCAGGTGCAAACATTTTACACTTTAACCAAATGTTTGTGAAGCATTTTCACATGCCTCATCTCATTTGATCCTCACAGAAGTCCTGGAGTAGGTAGATAGGAGACTCGGTAGAATCCTATTTTCTTTTCATTAGCCAGAAAAGGGAGATTTAGAGAGTTCAGAAATTTGACCCGACTGAAAAGAAGTAAGAAATGGTGGACCTTGAAAATGACTTCAGGTTTTCTCACTGTGCAGAATATAGTCAAACACTGCTGCAGTTAAATATTTTACCCTTTGTTTTCCCTGCGTGATCCACAACATTAATGTGCTTCATGTTGCTATTTACTGCTGTGTTGCTGACAATTACCTGAAAGAGAAGTTGGGGTGCTTCACTGGCCTGGAAAAAGTTTAGCTAAATCAGAAAGCAGGTCTAATTAAGCAGGTTTATTCTATATATATATAAAAGCTAAGTTGACTTGTGCATGCGCAATACATATAAAGCTCTCGCTGGTGCCAATCACACACGTGTGTTTTGATCTGTCATTGTCGATCATGAATTTGGTTGACACTTCTATTAGAGAAAGGGCAAATAGCGATATTAAAATATTTCTTCTAATTAATTTCCTTTCAATGTGCACGAATCCGTGCACCGAGACACTAGTATGTCCATAACATTGAATTGTCTTGACACAGCTGCAACATACTTCCTGCCCTACAACCTCTTATCTCCCTATAAACCCAGTATAGTGTCATATGCAACTAGGAACCCTGAAGGAAAAAGAAAGGATGTAGGCAGAAATAACTGACTGTGGATATAACTTGCTTTTCCTTCAGGTCATTGCCAGCAACTGAACATCTTCCTGAGTACAACAGCCATGCCAAGATAATTCTTTAATTCGTAGCAGGACTTGAGGCCATCAAGAAAAAAACATTCTAGGAGACTATTGAACCAGATACAGAAATGCAAATAAAACTGCATACACATTACCAACCTGTGTCTTTTTATTTATAATTAAGCTCTCTAGAAAAATGCAGTTATAGGTCCCAAGTCGAATTTCACCACATTTCTGGGCTGGTTCTTCCATTTGCTGCCACCTCTATCAGTTCACAAACTAAGCCAAGTGGGAGTGGTTTTATATTATCCTTTTTAAATTATCTTAGGATCTACCGATCCATTAACCTACCCATCTGCCTTCCTCCAATGCATGTTTTCTATATACAAAGTCACAGAGTACTTTTAAATGTTCCTGAGTGACAAAATGTGTTCTGATCTTCCAGGTACACTGTAGGCTCCTTCTTTTGTTTCCCCCTTCGGTGCCTAGAACAAGTGCTCACCCCAAGGTTCTGGGTGATGGCAACTTCATACAAGGATACACTAGAGACAGGAGTATAGGATTAGGTGGTAGGTCAGATGCCAGCAAAGAAAGTGGCAAATTAGAAAGAAAGACTAGGAAGTAAAAAAGTAGAAAAAAGGAGAAAAGAAAATGTTGAACAAAGAAAATAAAGATTTAAGGGGAAGAGGCAGAACAAAAAGGGAGAGGCCTCACGTGAGCCATGGCCACAGCCACACCCGCAAGCACCAGAAGCACTTGGGAGGCTGAGGTAATGCTGGTGGCTTGTAACAATGCAGGATCAACTTGGACAACTATCACCCAGGTTACTAGGGTAAAGTTGATATGAGGAATTACCATTTAAAGAGGAACCAGAGCTTCTGCCCAACTGTCAACCTTGATAAACTATGGACCCTGGTAAGTGAGCAGACACAGGTAGGTAAAAGCTGCCAAAAACAAGACTGGAGCTGTTCCTATCATTGATGTGGTGTGATCGGGCTACTACAAAGTTCTGGGGAAGGGAAAGCTCCCAAAGCAGCCTGTCATCATGAAGGCCATATATTTCAGCAGAAGAGTCGAGGAGAAGATTAAGGGTGTTGGGGTTCCGGTAGCTTTAAGCCACATACTAGTAGAGAGAAGTTCATTAAATGCTCACAAGCGCTTCTCAAAAAAAATTATATATATCCTCAAACTAAGTATGAGTTAGCACTTCAAGGCTGAGACTAAAATAGGCAACCTGACCCAGGGTTCTATAAACCACAGAGAACTGGGAAGCTGATAATTTGCCTCATCCTGGCCAGGGCTCAGTCTGTTAGAGTGGTCTACCATAGATTGAAGAGTAAGCTGAGAGGAGAAGGCTAAGAGGAAGAGAAGCAGCAACCTTTTATTTTTTTAAGTCATTTTAAGTTTTTGTTGGCTGATAAAAAACTGCCACACTTCCTTCCCACCTCATGCTGCTATTCCTGAATTTAATTTGCAAAGGGAAGCAGAGACTAACAATTTTATTTAACAAAATTTAAACTAGTGGGGGGGACATGCTTATGGTTAGAAAATAAAATTTATCTCTCACAGAAAATGTTTTTTCCTACATCATATTTTAAAATACAGTCTTGTTTTCCATTTAGGAACTGTGAAAAACACATATTTAAAATGTTGTTGGCCCTGGCTGGTGTGGCTCAGTTAGTTGGAGCATTGTTTTGTACACCAAAAGTTGGCAAGTGCCCATACCTAGGTTGCGGGTTTGATCCCAGGTCATGGCACGTGTAGGAGATAACAGATCACAGTTCCTCTCTCTCTCTCTCTCTCTCTCTCTCTCTCTCTCTCTCTCTCTCACACACACACACACACACACAAATAGAAAGCATGTCCTTGGATGAAGATTAAAATGTCTTTGGAAGGATGCCCCATTTTGCAATGTATGCTCTCCTAGATTCTTTTGGGCTACAGATGTTGAGAGGTATTCCATGTCCATGTTCTCATTTCCTATGTCGATGATGCCTGGCAGAGCCTTCCATTATTCAGCTTTCTGACATCTTATCAAGAATTGGTAGAGGGGCAAGAATTCTTGCCCGATTTGTTTCTACAATGCAGCCATTTAGTATCTTCTCATCCAAAATGAGGTGTATGTTATCCAAATTAAACATTATATCTAATTCACTCACTTGGCTGAAGTACTCATCTAAAATTTCCACATAGTTATGGGTGAATTCATAAATCGCCATCTCATTCTTGGTGTTATTAATTCCAACCACAATGAAGAGAGCTGCATACTGCTGATACACCAGCTTAAAATCCTTATATTCAGTGAGAGAGCACTGTGGGGCTCAGGGTGGTGTTGGTCCTTCCCATGGTTTTTCCTAGAATCCTCCTTCCCCTTTCCCACAGAAGCTAGTTCCTCAAACCTCACTGCGGGGCTTCCTTGGGGCACCCATTTTGAGAAGCCACTTTCTATAGCAGTTACTGAGGACCAGACAAGAGGACCAGGGTAGTTAACATTATAGCAGGAGAAACGGCTAAGACAGGTCCGGGAACTTGTAGGCTACTATGTCAGCAGAGGCCTCCAGAACAGTGTATACAATGTAAGAAGCTGGGCTGGGATCAGGATGCTTATATCCCCAATCTCAGTTCCACACTGAGGGATGGGTAACCTTGGGCAAGCCACCAGCTCTTTCTGTGACTCAACTTCCCTCTCTAGTTAAATTCTAAAGATTGTCTGTGCTCTAATATTACATGATTTGGTGACCACCAATTTCAGTTCCCAAGAGATTAGCACTGAAGAGAGTTTCTTGGGAGGCAGTGGCTGGGCTGCACTGCTGAGGATGCTGCAGATTCCTGAGAGTGACACAGGTATTCGCCTCTTTCTGCCAGTGACACACCTGTTATCATCACCATCTTCTCTCAGGTGTCCCCACAACACCATCATTCTCTGGGCTTCTCCCTCATGTCTCCCCATCCAACATCAAGTCCTTCCATTTTCTTCATTCTAGACCATCCTCAGAACTAACACTGAGAATGAATTCTATTGATCTATTACCTGAAAATATTGGTTCTAGTTCTATAAATGAATAACATCCTATATAATAAAGAGGTAATATGCAAATTGACCATCACACCCTCGCACAAGATGGCCTTCCCTATGAGGTCAAAGATGGCCACCACAAGATGGCTGGCAGGGGAGGGCAGTTAGGGACGACCAGGCCAGCAGGGGAGGGCAGTTGGGGGCGACCAGGCCAGCAGGGGAGGGCAGTTAGGGGTGACCGGGCTGGCAGGGGAGGGCAGTTGGGGGTGATCAGGCTGGCAGGGGAGCAGTTAGGCGTCAATCGGGCTGGCAGGGAAGTGGTTAGGGGGTGATCAGGCAGGCAGGCGAACGGTTGAAAGCCAGCAGTCCCGGATTGTGAGAGGGATGTCCGACTGCTGGTTTAAGGGATCGGGCCTAAACCGGCAGTCAGACTTCCCCTGAGGGGTCCCAGATTGGAGAGGGTGCAGGCTGGGCTGAGGGACACCCCTCTCCCCCAGTGCACGAATTTTGTGCACCAGGCAGTTAGTATATAACATCACATTATGATCATCTGATTACCAACCTTTCTCCATCTGTCAACATGAAGCATCTGAGGTTAAAGATCAAATGTTTTTCATTCATCTTTGGCTTCCCAACACTCAGCAATGCCAGTCACATGGTTGATCCTCAGAGTAGTACATCCACTTTGGGGAATGACCTTGGAAAACAATAGACAAGGGCCTCTAATTTTGTCCCAGGCCTCCAGTTTCCCTCTCCATTCCTTAGGAAGTGGTATTTTGACCCTCTTCCCTTCCTTAAGGGAATTTTATCTGCACTGAAAAATCCTTGAGTAAATGGTTCCTCCAAATCTAGTGTCCTAATTTCCAGCTATCCCCTCCAACAGGTCAGAGAGTAACTTCCTGTTGGAGACCTACATAGAGAAGCGACCGTTGTAAAAGCAGCAGTCCCACCCCAACTTTCACAATCTGTGTCTGTCTTCACATTCTGCTTCCTTCTAGTTACATTGTACTAGTTTATCAAGCTAGAAAGATTTGCTCTCCATCCCCAGCACAGGCTTCCATACGCTCCTCCTCATTCTTCTTTCAATAAGATCCTCTCCTTCCCTAAGCACCTCCATTTCTGTCTCTACCTCAGTTGTTCCTCCCTTTCAAATTCAGGTGTGGACTCTGTCCCTACCAGTTCCAGCCTTAGAGCCAGCCTCTCTGATAGAGGCTTTCCATCTTTAAAACAGGTAACCTGACAGAAGGAAGTAGATGTTGCTTGGCCACCCAGTATACATACCCGTATAAATGAAAGGCGCTTTCCCAAACAATAACTACTCTCGCTGAGTGAAAAATCACAATATTTCCCACCCCACTGTTTCCTCCTTATTTTCCTGCGCCAGTAGTTGTAGCTAATTGGCCCCGTCGGAAAACTGTTCAGGGGGCTGGTGCTCCCATACCTTAGGCCTTAGGGCTGGAGATCTTTGGAGTTGGTCCTGAGTGAGCACTGCCTGAGGGCGGCCGAGTTTCTGGCCTCTTCCCAGCAGGCCCAGCCTCTACCCTGAGCTCCACAAGTCCCCACCTGGCCCCTCACCTGCTGCTCTGGGCCGCACCTCACTCCCCCACGCCCCCTGTCCCCAACCCCTGGGCTGGGCGGCAGGGAGGGCTTCAGGGTTCAGGCTGGCCGCTGTATGGGCCCAGGCTCGCTGCAATGGAGTTTGGGTGGCCTCGGGTGGGCTTGGGGTGACCTCGGGGAGGTCCTGAGGGGCCTCAGGGTGGTCTTGGGGTGACTTTGGGGTGGTCCTGAGGGGCCTAGGGGGGATCCTGAGGGGCTTCAGGGTGGTCTTGGGGTGGCCTCAGGGTGGTCTTCGGGTGACCTCGGGGTGGTCCTGAGGGCCCTGGGGGGATCCTGAGGGCCCTCGGGGTGGTCCTGAGGGGCCTGGGGTGGTCTTGGGGGACCTCCGGGTGGGTGGTCCTGAGGGCCCTGAGGGATCCTGAGGGCCCTCGGGGTGGTCCTGAGGGGCCTGGGGTGGTCTTGGGGGACCTCCGGGTGGTCCTGAGGGGCCTGGGGTGG